TGCCAGTACGTATATTAAGAATTCATCATCAAAATCAAAATTAGGTAAGTTTAATGATGAGTATGTTTCGTTTTTAAATTCATCTGAAAACTTTTGTGAAATAATTGACATTCCGCTGTTTTCTAGTGTATTGAAACAACATGTATTATGTATAAATTGTAAAAAACAAAGTATTGACATTAAGTTTAGTCGCCAAATTCAGGGTTTGGCTACAGAGTTGATAATATGTTGTGACTTTTGTGGTCTTATTCAACCACTTCTCAATACCAGGTTTACTAACACTGTGGTTAATAAAAAAGATACAAAAGTGTATGAAGTGAACACTAGACTTGCATATGCTATGAGGTCAGTTGGAAAAGGTGAAGCAGCTGCGAAAGTATTTTGTGGAGTTATGAATTTGCCACCTCCACCAAAGCGGTTTTATGAGTCTGTGCATGCATTAAATAATGCGACAGAAAAAGTAGCAAAAGTGTCTATGGCTTTAGCTGCTGCCGAAACACTATCATTTAATAATGGTAACCCAAATGTACCTGTGGCTATAGATGGTACCTGGCAAAAAAGGGGCCATACTTCTCTCAATGGTGTTGTTACGGCAGTTAGTGTGGACACTGGGAAAGTAGTTGATGCCGAAATATTATCGAGGAAATGCTCATGTCATTTTAACGGCAACGTACATAGTGATGAGTGTTCGGCAAATTACTTCGGAAATAGTGGGGGAATGGAAGTTGAAGGTGCACTTCGTATCTTCCATCTTTCAGAGATACTACACAATTTGCGATATACGCAATATTTGGGTGATGGGGATTCTAAAGCATACAAAGCAGTTTTAGAATCTAAACCTTATAAAGATGTCAAAATTGAAAAATTAGAATGTGTTGGTCATGTTGAGAAAAGGATGGGTGCACGACTCAGGGCATTAAAATTAAAATTAAAAGGCAAAAAGCTCGAGGACAAAAAATCTCTAGGAGGCCGTAATAGATTGACTGATGCAGAAATAGACAAATTGCAGAGATATTATGGTTTAGCTATTCGAAACAACTCGGGAAATTTATCAGCCATGAAACAAGCTATTTGGGCTATATTTTTTCATAAGATCTCAACAGATTTGAATCCACAACATGGTTTATGCCCCTTGGGAGATGATTCGTGGTGTGGATATAATAGGTCTAAACTGAAAGGTGATACATATAAACATAAACAAAATTTACCTATTGCAATTATGCATTGCATAAAAAAAGTATTTAGAGATCTTTCAAGCCCTGAACTTCTGTCTAGATGCTTGCACGGTAAGACACAAAACTGTAATGAAAGCTTAAATAGTGTTATATGGTCTATAATTCCAAAAACTGTTTTTGTACAATTGGGAACTTTAAAAACCGGAGTATATGAAGCTATATCTATATATAATCAAGGATTAATTACCAAATTAAAAGTTTTAGATTTATTAAATATTCAACCTGGGTTTTATACATGTCGAGCATTGCAAGAAGCAGATCACACACGTATAAGGAAAGCGGAAAAGGCAATTTCACAAAGAACCAAAGAAGCTAGAATTAAAAACAGACAGTTAAAATGTAAACTAGAAGATGATCTTGCAGATGATCCCAGCAATACAAGTTATGGTTCTGGTATGTATTAGTTAATTGTATGATGTTTTTACTTTAAATTTTTATTTCTCAAAAGTGTAAATTTCAACACAAAAGGATCATTTTTGAAAAAACTACTTATTTAATAGCTTTGAAATTTTGCACATATATTAATATTATACAAATAAGTGTTTTAATGGGAGATTTTGTCAAAAACAGTATTCAATAAAAAGTTATGGATTAAAATGTACAAGAATTTTCAGCGTTTTAAAATTTTTGACGTGTTACTCCACGTATGAATTTTTTTTAAAAAAACTAATGAACATTTTAAAAAATGCTCCCATTACAATAAAGAAAACAGTACAATAAATGTACCAAAAAAAATTCATAGCTGTACAACTGGTCAATTTTTCAAAAATGTTCCTTACGCTTGATCCTTTTTAACATTGCGGAGATAGGAACAGATCATGCACATATAAGGAAAGCGGAAAAGACAATTTTACAAAGAACCAAAGAAGCTACAATTAAAAACAGACACTTAAAATGTAGACAAGAGGATGATCTTGCAGATGATCACAGCAATCCAAATTATGGCTGTGGAATGTATTAGTTAAAGGTAAGTTTTTACTTTAAATCACTATTTCTCAAAAGTGTAAATTTCAACACAAAAGGAACATTTTTGAAAAACCTACTTATTTAATAGCTTTGTAATTTTGCACATATATAAATATTATACAAATAAGTATTTTAATGAGAGATTTTGTCAAAAAAATTACTCAAAAAAAAGTTATGTATTAAAATGTACAAGAATTTTCAGCGTTTTAAAATTTTTGACGTGTTACTCCACATATGAATTTTTTTAAAAAAAACTAATCAAAAATTTAAAAAAAGCTCTCATTAAAAAAAAGAAAACAGTGCAATAAATGTACAAAAAAAAAATTCATGACTGTACAACTGGTCAATTTTTCAAAAATGTTCCTTACACATGGGCATTTTTAACATTACGGAGATAGGGAAAATGCTGCGTGAAGTGACCCCCTTAAGTGTTCTTGCCGTATGAATTGACTTCTGAGCCAAGTGACCTTCACTGTTTTATACTTGAATTAAAAAGATAAATGGTATTTACATAATATGCAAATCACATACTTAAAACGTACTAATGAATTGAATAAACTCATA